TAGGTTACACCCTTAAATTAACTCTAACTTAGCGCAAGACTACCTAGCTAAGCGTTCCTTACTAATCCTTACTTCTATTATAGTAGTTTAGAACCCTATAACTCTTAGATCCCTAGAACTTATTAAAACTCTTCTCTAAGAAAATAGGTCCTTATTCCTAATAGAAAGATTAGAGTTACCTAAGCACTATTAGATAGAAAATAGACTCCTTCTCTACTAGGATTAACTTTGCGTGCCTGCTAGATTAGTCCTATATACTAGACTAATTTGTAAGGCTTATAATTAAGTGTCTACTACCTACCTATTAGCTACTAAAACCTATTAGATTCTAGCCTAATATTACTACTAGAAAGGTATAGAGACTACCTATAAACGCTACGTTTAGAACTGTATCCTATATAGGAGAGGGCACCTAAGATAGCACTAACTCCCTAGCATGCTCTACCCCCTTCTAATCCCTAGTCTACTAATGCAACACCTATGCATTAATTTTAAGGATTTTCCCTAGGATTAACGTGGTTACAATTAGATTATAGTTATTATTAATTACCTATTAAAGCAAGCTATTACTATCCCTTGCTATAAAACTATAGATACCTAAGGTATAGCTACTTTATTTGTTTAGTAGGTATACTAATTTAGATATACTCTAGATACTATTATTTCTAATTAAGGCCCTTAGTTTATATCTAGTTTCTAGTCTAAATTCTATTAGATTATAGGCACTAAAGTTAAGCTCTCTACTACCTACTATAAATAAACTAATAGACAAACTAAGATTATAAACAAGTATATTAATTAGAGACTAAGGCCTTTTGTATCCTATTACTAAGATAACTAGAGTAACTTACTACCTATAATAGACTATACCTAAAGTACTCTCCTATATTTATCTATTAGTATAGCCCTATATTAGCTCCTCTTTAGTTCCTTACTAAAGCAAAGTTAGTATTAGAAACTAGAAAAGACCCTATCTACTATACTAGAGAAACTAAACCACAAGGACGCCTTATCCCTTGCTACTTAGATGCACAACGCCTAGAAGATTACTAAAGAAAATATAGAAAGAGCTTAAGACTAAATACGCTCTGCTACTAATTGCTATTACTATCTAGTTAACTAGAAGGTTAGTAACTATATTTATCTATCTACTACTAATCTTGCTATTTTATAACCTAGCTAAAAACTATCTAAATAATAGGAAGGCCCCTTTAAGGTATTAGAATAAGTAGGAAACGCGTATTACCTCTAATTACTACCTAGTTCTAAGATCTATAACGTTTTCTCTCCTAATATACTATACAAAGATCCCTAAGACCTGCTACCTAGATAAGAGGCTCTAAAACCCCCTAGTACCCCTATATAAGGTATAGAGGAATAGGAGGTAGAAGAAATCCTAGCTAGCAAATTATATTAATCTAAGCTAAAATATAAGGTTAAGTAGGTTAGACACAATCCTAATCCTATTTAGTATCCTACCTCTAACTTTATAGGTGCTCCCTATAAATTACAGGTATTCTACTAATAGTATCTAAATTAGCTAGGTCCCCTACGCAGCTTACTAAAATAGATTTAAGCCTAGGAAAAAGGTAAAGAGGATCTAATATTACTTCACAATAATTATACCTAATATTAGAACTAATTTATATCCTATTTAGCTATATATTATCTATTAACTACTATCTATTACTATTATTCTTATTGCTATTTATTATTATATCCTATTTAGAACCTTTAAGGTTCCTAGGACACTACCCCTAGGAAACCTCTTTATTCTATATCTATCTCTCTATTAGAACCTAGTTTAGACTCTGTATTAGCTAAGATAGCACCTAGACTATCCTTCTTTACTAGCTTCTAGATAACTAGTGCAGCAGGGATTAGAGTAGGTGCAGGAGCAGGGACAGGAGCTAGGACTAATTTAGATTCCTTCTCGTGAAACGCCTTTATCTTAGCCTACACTAGAAAGGTTACCTCCTAATTGTAACAAGGCTAGGCTAAAAAATAGCTAGCGCTTACTAGATGCCTAGGCTAGACTTGAACAAGGTTCATGGGTTAGCACTAGGGTCTAGCACTATTATCTGTTGAGATATATATATTATACTATGCGAGGATTACTTAGCTTAAGTATTCTTGTGCGTACCTTTTGGACCATGGCCGAATTAGTACAGACAGGGGAGATAACGTAGTATTTATTTTATAGGCAGGGCGCCTACCTTATTACATAATACTTAAGCAAACCTAAAGGTCTAGAGTTTGAATCTGCGGATTGTCTCTGGCTTAAATTATGCTTAGGAGACTAGGCTAGACTAGATTTGCTAGGGTTAGTGCTAGGGCCTATTTAGGACTAGGCTAGACTAGATTTCTAGGGTTAGTGCTAGGGCTTGCTAAGCCTAATTAGGGTAGAGCGGATATATATTGCCCTTAGCCAAAGAGCTCGTAGCTTACTTGTCTTAGGGACTAAGATATTTAAGGAGGGAGGTAGTGTAACAAGGCTAGGCTAAAAAATAGCTAGCGCTTACTAGATGCCTAGGCTAGACTTGAACAAGGTTCATAGGTTGGCACTAGGGTCTAGCACTATTATCTGTTAAGATATATATATTATACTATGCGAGGATTACTTAGCTTAAGTATTCTCGTGCGTACCTTTTGGACCATGGCCGAATTGGTACAGACAGGGGAGATGACGTAGTATTCATTTCATAGGCAGGGCGCCTACCTTGTTACACTAATTTAGCGCTAATTCCTCCTTAAGTTCTTTAATAGCCCTTATTAAGCCCCTAACTACTAAGACTATCTTATAGATACTATTCTAAAGCTAATATAAATTAGATATAGTAGTATAATATATAGCTATAAGGATCTTAGTAGCTTCTATACCCTTAGTCTAAGTATTAGTAATAGTAACGCACTTAGTAAGGTTTTAGGTAGTTTCTTAAATAGTAGCCTTAAACTGCTTAATATCCTTCTAATAAGTAACTATAGCCTTGTTATCCTTATCCCCTTTAGTAGGGTTTCCTATTAGGCTATAGTACTCTTCTAAGGCACCCCTAAGGGTAGAGTACTCTTAGCTAATAAAAGAAGGAATCTACTAGGATTAGTAAAGGAACCCTATTAGACTTAGATACTTACTAGATTGTAATACTTATTCTAGGAGATATAGTACTAGCACTTCTTAGAATTCTTTAACTTAAAATTAAAATTATTAAACCTACCCCTAGCTAGAGCCTTAACTACTCTTATATAGAGAGCGCGATAAGTAATAGGGAGGACTCCTAGTAGTACTAGTACTAGCATAGCTAAAGGTTCTAATTTAGATTAGTAACTATTTAATTATATAGATTAAATACTTACTAGATTTTAGATAGATTAGGTTAAATATTTAAAAAAATTAGGGATATAGGAATAAGAAAGTTAGTAGGTAGAGGGCTAGTTATATGCAGGCTAGGGATAGGGGTCTGTGCCCTAGGAAGAAGAAGTAAAGGTAAAGGTAGAGGTAAAGGTAGAATTATTTTGCAAAAAGCTCTTCTTTAATAAAGGATCTAAACCTAATCCTAAGGATAGGGACTATCCTTTCTCTATAGGAGGGGGTAGTATAATAATAAGGTAGAATTACCTGCCTATTATTCTATACTAAGTTAGGCCTAATAAAGGCCTAACTTACTAATATATATAGAGAACAGCTCGCCTATAGTTAGGATAGGCATGTTCTTCTTGTCCTTTTATACTAGACCTATAGGTGTAGGAATCTTATCCTTTTCTGTACAGACGCGCACTCCCATATGCCTTTAAGTTATATAGGATACCTTTTGGATGCCCTACCTACCTAAGTCGTTATAGTAAATAGATTATATAATTAACTAAGTTTAATACTCTCTTACTATACCTACTACTCCTTAAAAGCGCTTAGGCTAGCCTGCTTTACTAAATATAGAGCAGGTAGAAGAGTTAATCTCTTTTATTTATTAGAGTAAGAGGACTTAGTAGATAAGCTATACTACCCTAGTAGAGCACTTTAAGTATTAGGGAGTTATAAAGTACCTAATTTAATACACGCTTTACGTAGCTAGTTTTAAGCAAAGGAGGGCGCTTACTAAGCCTCCTCTTTCTAAAGAAAATAAGAGAATTAGGCTTTAATAGGCGCAGGAGCACGTAAACTAGACCTAGGATTAATAGAATAGGATACTTTAGTGTAATAAGACCTAGGTATCTAGTAGCTAGTAATAATAGATCTAGGTTACTAGGTATAATAGGGAGGCTCTTAATAAGACCTACTTAGTTAATAAAGTTAAGAGTAGTATAGGCTAGATATTCTAGGCTTACTTCTCTAGTAGTAAGAAAGGTCCTTACTTATTCTAGGAGAAAGATTAGGGCAAGATAAATAGGAATAGCTACACTAAGCAAGTAGTCCCTCTTATTAATAGATAGCTAAGGATATAGCTAGGACTACTATTTATATAGGATAATACTCCTACGCATGCTACTAGAGTAGTAATTAAGGAGCTTTACTCTTAAGGTATTTATCCTATCTTCTAGCCTATATTTAGCCCTAACCTTAACCCTATTAAGGTAGTCTAGAATTAGATAAAAGCCTAGATTAAGGCTTAGTATCCTACCCCTACGTTGTTTAATTAACTATAGAAGATAGTGTGCGCTGCTTAGGACGTAATTACACCTATAGAGCTTTAAGTAATAGTAAATAGTATAGGGGCTCGCTGCTAGGCAGTGATTAATACCTAGAGTGGGCACACACGGTATTAAGACTGTATATTACTGTATTATCTGAACTTGGTATAGCTTAAGGCAAGGGGTACGTAAGCGCCCCACAATGGAGTACTTTGACTCTACTATAGTACTTAGCGGACAAGCCCTGTAACTCATGAACACCCGTTCGGCCCTACCCTCATTCTGTTCCCTTTAGAACGGAGACTACCGTCTGCTAGATTCGGCCATTTAGCGAAGTCAGCAGCGTCTTAGGTTCACAAATAGAATCAATTAGATTACAAGCGTGGGCAATGCGGTAAGATTGTTTGAGAAATCCGCCGGGAGAGAAATTCTGGGTCTGGTTCATATGCTGGGTGGTTTGGCTTGCGTTTCATGGGTGACACTAGAGGACGACTCTGGTCGTGCGACAGGTCGAGATGACTGAGATGCAGCAATCGTTGATGAGTGGTACCGGTAGACGCTGGTGTGCTATTTGGAAAGTTTTGGGAAAGACCGAAGTCGGCAAAGTTGCGCAGTCGATCTTCATTATGTGAGACGATAAGAGCCTGTTGAGAACCGTTGGTGCTGACGGTCAAACTTTGGCGATTGCTGCGATCGATTCCCCTAGCTTTGGTATGTACCGTATTCGATTAGGCTGAGATGGTAAATTTGTGTGAATCTTCAGTGGGGTCGCAGCAGCGCCAGCGTCACGAGCAAACCTCTGCTCTCCCCGACAGCGAAACTGATCAGGCCGCAGTGATTAGAGCGCAAGACATGCATACTTGACTTTTGACAACGGAGTCGATACTCCCATGATGCACCTGTTTACAGGCCGAAAGTGAAAGCAAAACGTTATGCAGTGGTTGGCACCTCCAATCGTTGCGGCTCAGTTGGTCCGAATTATGCAGCCGAAAGCATTGGCAAACGTTATTCGAGGCAAGGAGCGAAAAAGGTACCGGTGCTGTACCTAGAGCCAAGAAAGCAGCACATGAGAGAATGACGCCGATTACATAGGCAGTATCTTTGCCCAATGGTTCGATCATGCATTCAGAAACAGGATTGTCAGAGTGTCGGTGCAGTCGAGTGCATGTGGAATAATAGCGAGACAGCAGCAATTTCGAAAGAGTACAACGGCGAATTAGGGTGTCGACCTTGGCGGTGAAATGCATCACCGGCGGGCTATTTTCCCGTGGCCGAGAATTGTCGTACAGTCTAGAGACAAGATTTCAGCATTGGCACCGACGGGACTACTATATGCTTCAAATGATTGAGGTTGCATGTGACGACACAGTTTTGGAGTAGATTGGCAAAGGTTGAAGAAAGCTGCAGGAGTCTCTCTTGCTGCGCTGCCGATGCTTTACCCCAGGTTGAATCGTTCTACGGTAGTGGGTGGAATAGGGTACCCCCAGATAGATTGCACGACCTGCACGAGCATGTGGGGGGATATGAAGTTGGGTGGTCAGGGTCGTTAGCGATCCGGCAGAATAGATTAGCACTACGGGCTGCAGATGCTTCCAGAAGGGATGAGCGCTTGTCCTTCATCTAGACGGCCAGAATACTGTATAGGGAGGATCAATTGCATATTGAGAGCAATCATAGCCGACGGAACATGGCTGCATGATGTAGCTCGAAGGAGTAGGGTGCACTACACACTATAGTGAGTACTCTAGTCCAGTCGCCATACAGTAGATCGATGGTGCATCTTCGTCCGAGGCGAATCAGGAATTGCTGACGGAGAACCAAGCGGTACAATGTGCACTTGTTTCGTGTCGCCACCGAGGTTGACCCTGGGTGAGGTTTAGATCGAGCTCGAGCTGCTACTAGAGTATTAAAGTACTTGTGAGAGGGTAAAGAGCCTTGGCCGTGAAAGTTTATGGATGTGGACGGCTGGCTGTGGCTCGCGCCAGTTCAGCCAGGCCATGGATGGTGAGAGAGTGTTAGTGTGTAGGTGTAGGTACTCCTAGAGTGTGTGTGAATGCATCTACACGCGTCGAACAGCGATGCGACTGGCTGAGCCAAAGATAGAGAGGGATTCCCCCCCCCCCCAAAGTGAGCCCTCCCGAGTTCCAAGGGCGGAATGCGAATCAGGATGCCAGGCACGCCGTTGCAGATGAGCAGCTCTCTCCCCTGACTTGGATAGTGAAACGATGGGCGGGCCGCGACTGAGAGCACTTGAGGGAGGCTAGCGGTGGTACCTCGTAAGATGGGTAAGATGGGAAGTAGGGGTGCGTCGGACTTGCTTATTTTAGCGCAGGGTATGGAGGCAAGTGCGACCACCGCCGACCAGGGGGGGAGCGCCTTCCCTTTGGGTGGGCCTTGGCGGCAGCCTACATATAAGGGTCCGAACATGCCACTCTGGCCTCTTTCTCAGCACAGCCCGGCCCATAGTGATAACCACCCGCTATGCCCGCTACCACTCACTATTACTCCCACTACCACCACCACTCCACCCCTCCCACATCTCCACGCCATGACTGAGCAGAACTTCGACACCTTCTTCTCGCAGACCATCAATACCAGCACCATGACTGCCACCCCGCTCACTCCCCCACGCACGGACTCTGTGCCTGCCACTATAAAGATGGAGCAGCTCGAGGTCTTCGATGCATCCTCTCCCCATGAGTCCATGATGTCCACCACCTCAGAGCCCTCATCCACACCGGCCCCCTCTTGTGCCTCAGAATCCAAGACCGTCAAGAAGCGCAAGTCGTGGGGCCAGGTCCTGCCTGAGCCCAAGACCAGCCTGCCCCCACGCAAGCGAGCCAAGACAGACGACGAGAAGGAGCAGCGTCGTATTGAGCGCGTCAAGCGCAACCGTCTCGCCGCCCACAACTCTCGGGAACGCAAGCGACAAGAATACGAGCTTCTCGAGAAGGAGAAGCAACGCATGGAAGCCGACCTCCATCGCTACCAAGAACAAATGGCCCAGATGAAAGCTGAGCTCGAGTTCTATCGCGCAAAGTACCCTGGCCAGGCACCCACACCGGTCT